TCTTCCTGTTTATGACGACCTGACAAGGGTCAGTTATTTATAACTTTTTTATAATTTCCTTGAATTGTGGTTCATTTAACTGATATCTACCTGTGTGGTTTTGGTGCCTGGCTACTAGTCTGATCTACTGGCAAGATATAATTGTTTCAAGGTTACATAGCAGAAGCTTTCTAATCATATGAGCTCCATATTCTTAAACCATTTGGAGTTTGGTATTTTAGCAACCTCCAGGGACTTCATGAAAGGAACTTAGGGTGAAATGCTCAACATTTCACCATGTGGTGAAATGGTGGTTGGTGCATCTCCAGAGGAGGTTTAATATATATATATATTATTCTTAAAGAATTTTGTTCCAGTTTTCTTTCAGAGACAGATTCATTCTTTCTTTAATATTAAAATGACCACATAATTTCTGTGTGTAGATGTGCATATTTATACATGGGGAGAAAGTAGGTAGCACTATTTGTACTGGGCATTCAGGTGTACTGAGCAATGTCAGCAAAGCTTTCTCAATACCATGTACTTCCAAGTATATACTTCCCCTTGACTATATGTGTGAATACCTTGTGTTTGTGTTAGCTGGGAACTTTAAAAGACATTATTCAAGGGTTATTACTGTAGATATCTTTATCAGAGAAACTTCTACATATGATGGGAGATGGATGTGAGTTGGGGTCCCAGAAGAGCATATCCATTCAAAAAGCTTGCCTGACATATTCACTTTCTTAGGTTACATAAAGCAATCAATGCCTTGGTTTGTACATTTGGGTTAAAGCACTCATCATTTAATGTGCAGGATTCAGGATAATATCTCTTCCGAACCCAAGGATTTCAAATGCAAGTTCTGCCTTGCAAGGATAGTGTGCTAAACAGGATTGTAAGCTATTTTGGACAAATATATTTGTTGTAGTTCTCAATTATGAAGCATCTTGTTGTAAGATATTTTGCAGGAAAGAAAAATATTTAGAAATTAGGAAGCTTTATTTCAAGAATGTCCACTGGTGACTGTTAAATGCACTAGCCTGGATGCAGCTTCTGTCTTATAAAAAGAAAAAAAAAAAGTGTGTGAGAAAAACCTTAAGCTTCTTGTATTTGCAAGGTGGAAAGTTATGTCTGTCCATATTTCAACTGTTTCTTACACTCTTCCTTTAAGTAACCTCTGCTAACCATTGTTAGACATGAAACTGAGTGACCCTTGGTCTGTTCCAGCATACATCCCATTATGTACTTAATGACACATCTCTGTGCTTTTTTATACCACAGGACCCAACTTCAGTCTCAGAGAAGGCTGACTGAGCTGTGGGAATGAAGTGCTTTAGAGCATGAGGGAGGTTGCTTCTTCAAGGCCCCCTGCCTCCCTCTTACAGAAGCTGGAACTCCTACCACGCACGAGGCAAGGCTACAGAGGCTGAGGGCATTGAGGGCACTGATGATGAGGGCATTGAAAAGCTGATTTCTATTTCTGTCCCTGATACTGCTGCAGAGTTTTTGACTGATACCGAGGCAAGTTGCTTAAAATACATTTGTTGGAGTGCTGACTAATGACCTTTCCCATTTCTCTAAGACCTGCTTTTGATACTTGGTGATAGGAAGTCCCCAAATGGAAAGGCAGCTGGTACTGATGGACTAGTGTGGAGGATCTAGTTACTGGGAGGTGTGATTTGAGCAGGGTGAGCAGGCAGAGCACTCAAGTCTGAGTCATTGCAGAAAATGAGTTCTCCAAATCAATGGTTCTTAATCTTGGTGCTTTAGCTATCCTGTGTAAAATGAGGATAATATTGCAGTCATACTTTATAGGCAGTTATAAAAGCAAGGCATTGCTGTTCGTGAAATATAGTCATGGGTACCACAGAGAAGTCTAAACAAATGGCTTCAAAGGAGAGCTTGAATAACGCTGTGCAAACAAGAGCTAAGGCCATACTTTACGAAAAAATAATAATAATAAATTTTTTTTTTTTTAGCACCTCATTACTTTTCCTGAATGTAATCCATTCTTGTACTGAGAAAGAAAGACAGGAGTCATGTGTAAGTACTGACCAAGTAGTTGAAACACAAGACTGAATTAACACTGCAGAGGTGACTTTTTCTGCCTGTCATTTGCTTTTATTTTCTGGCACTGAGGGTGTTTTTTAAGGTGGCATATGTGTGCCATATGCACTCAAGGTAATATGAAAATGAGGTTAACTCATAATAATGAGGTGCTCATAAAATTCACAAAAACTTAAATAAAAATCAATGACCTTACTTTTTTTTTTTTCTTGTTGGTTCCATCCAAAGATGACAATTTTTAATTTGAGGGGCAAGCTCCTAATAGCTGATTTTAGCTACAACAAGTTATATGGTGACTACCAGAGTCAGTAGAACCCCAGACTCATCTGGTGTCACCTGACATCTGTCCAAGACTTTTGAGGGATGCACTCCATTAGTTTCAGAGCCACTAACAAAGCTAGTGGAACGTTCTCCTTATATTTTCTATAGATTGCCTGATGCTTTCTAGATAAGCTCTTATATAACCTCAGGATGTATTTCAAAAAAGAAATTAAGGTACCCATAGAAAAACAATTATGCCTTGTCACCCAAAGAATGGTGCCATACAAAAATGGATGCTTCAGGCAGATGAATCAGAAACAGGGCAAGAGACCTCAGAGAGAAAGGTGTGATATAGTCTGTACACAGGATTTAGAACAAATTCGTCAGGTATGTCAACTTGCTGGGAACAGTTTTTTTGCCCAAATTGAATTGTATGAACACTATTCCTGATTTTTTTTCATGTGTCTAGCACTTATTCGAACATAGAAGCTTCTGTGTTGCCCTGAAATAGGGAGCCAACTAGAAGAGCAAGAAGTCTTTTTTGGAAGTTGGCTTTTTTTTTTTTTTTTAATCTTCAACTTTTTAAGTTCTGATCTCTGTAAAAGCTTTCTAATATTTTAAAACAGAAATAAACAATCCATTTTATTTTACATCCTTTGGGAGCAACAAATTGCTTCTTTTTGGCAGTAAGGGGTAGGGGTTATTTGATTTATGTGTGTGAAGAATTGATAGAAGAAAGCTCAGCAGAATGAAATGAATTTTGAATTTAGTGCTGAAAGCAATAAAGGGTCATTTCTCAGCCAAGCACCTGTGAAAATTTTGTGTTCCATATTCACAACCTCCTCCTGCAGGACAGCGAATTTATTGGTTCTAGTGGTTCTAGTGAGAAGACATTATTGCTGGGATCTTGTGGTCACTGTAAGAACTGAAGTCTGGGAGTTAGATATGATCTCATAGAGTCCTCCCAAGACCAGTAGATTGACCTTAAGCTGAAAACAGTCTCAATTCCAGATGCTGGAATTACATCTTCACAAAAGCAGTGTAAAGCAAAGTAACTGATGCTGATTAAAGTTGCACATTCATTTCCTCCTAAGGTTTCTTTTCAGCTGTCTATAACCCTTTTTTGTGTGTGTGCTTTTTACTTCTTTTGGGCTTGAAATTTGACATGTAAGTTCTTAAGACAGAAGCTTATACTTACACTGAGCAAGTGCATCTCTTTTCTGACTAAAAAGAGAGAGAAGAGTCATTGCCTTATGTAGCTTTCTTATCTAATCTCATTTCATATTACATTTAGTGAGTGCTACTGGAAGAACAAAGTCTTCAAATCTCAGCTGTGGATTGCATCAGTCCAAGAAAAATTTGATGCACTTTTTCACATTAAGGAGTTTAGAAGCAGACTATATACACACATCTCAAGGTTTCTTTGCTGCAGTGAGCTACTGATTTGCCATGATTCCTGATATTGAAGTGTGTCAATGTTCTTTTAAGGCACAGAGCTAAAAAGTGTGGGCTTTCAGTTAAAAAAAAACAACAACTAAACCAAATGTGCAGTACATTGAGGGCCCAGACTGAGGAACATACATGAACATTCATGGAGACTTGCTTTGCACAGTGAAAGGAGTTCCAGAAAGAGTTGCAACTGGCATGCAAAGCACCCATATCCTTTATTCCCCTTTAGCTGGTCATTGTGTTAACTATGCAGGAATAACCGGGGAACATTCATAAACAGTCTTAACATAAATAAAATTCTTATGGCAATGTATTTTTGCCTAATACAGGTTCTAAGAAGGAATTGCAAATTACGAGTAAATAAGTAACTAGTTAGTTGTTGAAATAACATGTGCTACTGCTAAAGAAAAAATCTTCAGAAACTGATGTCATTAAGTACACAGGAAAAGTGTCAGTCCTCTTGGTAAAGAAGATATGTTTAAGAAAGTTCACCTGTATACATTCATAACAGTGTGGATACTTCAGTAAAAGACTGTTGAAGTGATGGAGAGTGACACCGGTATAAATGGACAAAATTCATTTTAGGTTGTTATAAATATCTAAACTCGAAATCTCACATTTATAAAACACACATATTCCTTATTTCTCAGAGAGAGACAGCTCTTGTCATTGACTGACAGAGGATTTGATCTTCCCCCTTTTAGTTTTCTGAATAACCTGTCATTCAAGACAAAAATTACTGGGATGAATTTTCTGCGTTGTCTTGTAATGATTGTCTTATTGGTTTTTGGTTTGTTTGGGGGTTTTGTTTGTTTTGATTTGTTTGGAGTGTTTGTGGTTTGTGTGTGTGTGGTGTACGTGTGTGAGTTAAAAGATTAACTTTTTTTAACTGCCTACTCTGCAAATTCAGCCAGGAGTCTGCTCTTCGTCTCTGTTACATCATCAGCAGCAATAAATATTCTGCAGCTGGAATTCATCTGTCAAGTTTGATGGTGATACATGAGCTAAAGTGAAATCCCGTACCTGTTGTGGTTTTGCAGGGCTAACAATACAAAACCTTTGTTTTATTCAGTAAAGTAAGCAGATACACATCAATTGCATATGGGGAATAGATTGGCTGGGTAAGAATTCAGAATTTTTACAATAATTTTTCAAGCTGTAACTGCACTTTAAAGTTTTGAATGTGGTGACACAGCTAGTTTGACAGCATCACCGCTTTAAACCGTTTAACTTCACTGCAGGGTACATTAACACACCCAGCCTTGCCATCAAGGAAAGGATCACACTCAAATCCTGAAGTAATAAAGTAAGTGCTCCAACAATCATCGTCAGCAGACAACCACTGACCCACCTTCTGCCTGCGGTAAGCATTTCTAGCCACTGAACTTCAGCTTATCTTCTCCTTAAGAAAGAAATTGGTTACAAAAGGACAGTTTTATATACTAATAGTGTTCTTGAAATTATATTTAGAGTATAAATTTGACATTGTAATTATATGATATGCATAAAAAGAAAAGCAATCTGAAATGTCAGAAGTATACTGCGATTCAGCATGTTTTATCATAATACTATATGTAACTTGACATGCTTTAACTTACTATTTTAAACCTTAGATTTTCTAGGTTGATTTTTCAAAGTGAAGAGTAGACATTTGTTCCTTCCTGCCATAAGCAGATGTTCATGTGTGTACTTATGTGTGATAGTTATGTTAGTATCAATTTGCTTAGAAAAAAAATGAGCCTTGTACGCATTTGTATCTTAATTATATTTCTACTATAATAATTTTCTGGAAAATGTCATTCCACTCAACATATTCTCAAAAATTCACCAAGAGCACAAGCCCTTTAGGTGTTTGTCCACTAAACATTCAGTTCATACATGTTTATGGGTGAAGCTCTAGGATTCACCTTCATAAAATTTGCAGCAATGTATTTTCATAATAAAAAAAGATTTGCGAGCAAAATAGTGTGAATTTTATTTCAGAGGGGACTGAAGCTTTATGTAAACTCAAAATCATAGGATCTGATTACAGAGTGCCAAGAATACATATATTGGAATCAGTCCTCTTACTAGCACTAACGCACTGGTAAAATAAGAACTGGGCATATGGTGATTATGTGGAGTTGTAGTGAAAAAGCATAAAGAGTATAGTACTTTTGTACTGTCACTACGTAACCTTTCAGGAGTGTGAATACAGCAATAATCATCATTCCTTTAGGTCAACGTATCCAAGGAAAATGTGCAATACTAACCAAAGTCTTTGTAGCCTCTTACAGTGGAACACTGTTTGTTCACAGGCATCAGTAAATTATTATTTTCTTTCCTGAATCTGAGATCTGAGGCACTTAGACTGTATTAAGGCTTCCCACATGCTTTTTTTTTGTTTTTTTTAATATCCAGAATTCATTTTTATGTCATTGTACTTGACTTTTTGGGTCCATCTAGCTGAGGAATTATAGAGAGAAAAACTAGAAGGATTCCTAAAGACTGCTAACTCCAGCAATTATCTTCAAGGGGTTATACTCCTTGATGTGTGATGTGTTGTATCTAATTATGTTTCTCCAGCTTATTCTGGACTGCTTCTCTATCTAGAATAGCTGGATTGTGCAATCTTCTCAGGCAATTTATTCTACTTCCCATCCTTCATTACGAAAATTATATGTGATAACATATATATATATTCTAATATTACTTCCTTTCTTTAAATGAGCCCAGTTATATTTTGTTCTGTGCCTGGTGGCATGAAGAAAGCATATACCCCATTCTCTTCATCAGCAGAAAGGACCAGTTTCCATGGCTATGACTTCATGATTTTCCATCCTATCCCAACCCATCCTATTCCCATCCTACAAGCCCAACTCTTTCATCAGTGGAAGTTTAGTTAGACTATTGATCTATCCCTGTGCTCTTTTCTTATTTATACATAGGTCTTTTTGTTATTGGAAAGCTAGACTTTATAAGTCTATAAATGGTATTTCTTTCTAATATGGCCAAAGAAAATTTGTTGAAATGATCTCCACATAACTACATTTTGGGTTTGTGTTAGAAGAATTTATAAACTTGTAGTGCAGTAAATATGATTTTTCTGTTGCTAATAACAGACCACAGGCTGCCCATTAACCTCCCAGCACATGTTTCAGTGTTTTTGGACTGCTCTTGGCCTTTCTGGAACTGTGTTTTAGTTTGCATAACTAAAAACTGTTATCTAATGACCAAGAGATTGTTACATCCTACAGTTAAGGTTTTGTATATATATGTTACTAAAACACATAGGCATACATACTTTTAATACACATATATGGATGTATAACACACCGGTTGTAATAACAAGTAGTTATTCTGTGCAATTGAGCTATCCATGGTCATGGACTAAAATGCTGTGCAGAGAAGTATGGGCATGAGTTGGAAAGGGAGGCAGAGGAGGGTATGGGAGACTCAGGGCTGTAACAGCTCAGTTAGGACGATTACCACTCATCCAAGAAAGGTAATCTTGTGAGGTGGCTAAAGCACCTTCAGGGGTAACTCTGGAAATAAAATGAACAAATATCCAATACCACATATAACAAATCTGGATGCAAAGTGGAGTTGTAAACCAGTAAAGAAAAAAGCATAGTGTAGGACTAAATGAATAATAATTCCCCCAAGTGGGCCCTATAATGAGGAAGAAGAAATCATCAGTGTCAATGCCATACTCCTCCCAGCATAGGACATGGGACATTTGTCATCTTGCCCCAGCTGAAGTCATCAATTAACTGAGGAGCCAAAGTGGCTGTGTAAGGGTGGGTAGAATGTCAAAGAAAGGACGTAGGCACTAGAAGGTCTGTGTGTACATATCACTTGAACTGTATTTATCTTGAACTATCAGAATTAGGATCACTGTAAGGACTCTAATAATAACTCTCTGGTTATTGTGTTAAGATTTAACTAGACTAAGAATATATTTTTTGGGTATTTTCCTTTTGCCCATAAGAAGACTTTGAATCTATTTAACCAGTAAAAATTAAAACACTCTCTGTAACACGGTGCAACAAATTGATATTAAAATACAACGGAGGTTAGGTATTTCCAACTTGTAAGCAGTTTTAAAATTTAATCAAAATATACTTCTCACCAATGTTTTTATATTAGTCTTCATTAGTTAATGATGAAAGTAAGCAAGATTTATTGGTTACTTAAAACAAGTTAGCGAAAATAAGGAAAGTCTTTTGGATATAAACAACCCTTTCAGTCAAACACTTGATCCACTTGTTCAGAAGCAGCAAAATGAAATTTAAAGATCAAATCACTGTAAGTATGCAAAATGTTTTGTGTTCATGTATATAAAGTATTTTATTTCATGGTTCATTATAAATCAAGGCTGTGCCCACACTTACTAATTGCAGTGTTCTCTTGTTGGCCCTGCTTGGAAAGGATGCTGATTGCTTTAGTACATACAGGATCCAGATTAATTTATTTCTTGGAGGAGAGCCAAGCAGAATTACCAATTATCTTTTTGCAAGTATTTGGTATATTCCACATTTATTTTTAACTTTGAGATTGCTGTTTCTTATTTGTCTTTGGGGTTTGAAAGCCTCCCTTACTGAAGTAAAAAGGCATCACATTCATTTGAATGATTATTTTTTGTGTGTTTTTTGAATGGGGAAACTATAAGACTGCTTCTTACTCTGCAGCTAAGGAGTCTGGAAGAGGGAGAAGAAAATGTCAGATTGGGTGACCAGTAATAGAGTTTTCTTTTCCTGCTGTATTCAGTCCTGACTGAACATTAGAGCTGACTTTTACCTAGTAAGTAGTCACATAACATTACATTTAACAGTACTCTGTAGTACTCTGATTACAACAGCTCAACTGATGATTTAACTTGTACAGTTTTAGGAGATATACTCTTGTAGGAATTACATAACTGCAGGAAATTTTGAGAGAAAAGGGTGTCATGAACATGGAAAAGAGCAGCCTTGCCAGATTTACCTATATGGTCTCAAAAGACTGTGATGGTGTATATGGCAGAAAAAGGTTCACTTCGCTGTGTTGCTTTTTCTGTTGCCACTGATTCAAATACTGAAGCAGTGGCATTACTTCAATCCCTGCAACGTGGTATTAGCTACTTCAAAGCTATACTCTTTTTATTGGGCTGAATGTGCACTGAAGTAAAAGTTTCTGACACACTATAAAAACAAAAACTATGCTAACTTTTGTGTACTAAACACAATGAAACTCATCTCTAACTTCAGAAGACAGTGTAGACATTCGGTCAAAGTTAAAAATTGAAAGTTCCTTTATAATCACTGGAAACAGAGAATATAATTTAAATATTTGCTTTAAGATGGATTACATCTTTGACTCCATTGATCATGAACTTATTTTTATAGCCTCTAAAGGAAGCTTAAGGTGAGTAGTTCAGATATTGATCTCTAGTTGAATATTTCTCCATTAATCAAATAGCCCATTACACTTAAAATATTGTATTGACAAAACAGAAACACACCTTATATACAAAGTTAAGAATTTATTTTTAGTGTAATGGAAGTCTTAAAAGCTTTAAAGGCTTTAAACAAATAAGTAAGTACAATACAATTAAAATTGTTGTATGCACAATTTCTAGTACCTATTTCATTTTTCTGGTGTTATGCACATCCATCCAGAACTGCGGAGGACAAGAGGAAAACTCAAAGGATGTACAAGAAGTGGAGAAAAGTTTACAAAGAATACAATGAGGACTGTGTTTAAGTGATTGGATTTTCACACCGGACCTTCACTCATATGGACAGTCAAAAGCACCCAGAAATGACAAGTTGCAAAATGGTTTTAAGTAGTGTTGTTAATGCATGTTAAAGTTAAATGTACCCCAGTTATAAATTCATTATTTTTTTCCAAATGTGTTTTCCCCTCACAAATCCCTAATCCCTGATTGGTTGTAAAATCCTTCATCCTGATAGGTCGAGATTTGCCACAGTGTGGGCGGTCTCGACACACCCCTGAGTGTTGTTATTGGTCAAGAGTTAATGTATGCGTGTTGTTAATCCCTCATTGGTTCTACCCTGTTGTCAATCCTAAACTCCTCCCAGTTTCCAGACCCTTCCATCCCCGAACCTATAAAAACCCTGTTCACCCTCAGTTCTTAGTCAGTGTACCTGTGCTCCTGTAGCCCTCGTCTAATAAATCATCTACAGCAGAGCACGAACCCCTGTGTGCTGCGTGTCCTTTCCATCCACCCAGACTGCGGCACAGAACCCTTTGAGTACTGAGGTGAGTGGTTTCAGTCTGGCTGGAGGAAGAAGGGAGATTTAAAAGGAGCTGAGAGTGTCCCAGACTCTTCACCAGAAGGACAGTGATGCTGTTGATGGTGTTTCTTTCTCTTTTTTTTCCCCTGAAAAAGTGTAAAATCAATCACAATGGCATCCTTTTCCTCACCATAGGGTCTGCATGGGACTAATTTTTATGCTTTCTAACATGCTTTACATCCTGGTCTGCCGTGGTCTGCAAATCCATGTCACACTGAAATTTCCTGTATACATTGTGGGTTAGATAACGTTGAATACTTGTTCATTGTTCTTTTTGTTATGCTTAAACTGGTTTTACCCAGCTGTCATGATTGTATTTCTTTATTTGCACTTTTGATGAGTTGTTTCCAACTCTGGACTCTTCAATGTCAACCTCCTTCTTACCATCCCATGTCTGCACTGTCCTACACTGCATCACCTGTTCTTCATTTCAAGGGCTCTGCCGTGATATGAGGTCTCTGTTTCTCTGCACTGCGCCATTATGCTGCAGTTTTGAATATTCAAGTTTATCCAGAATAGCTGTCTGTTACTATTTTGTATATAAAAATTATGGTTACACTATAAAAAGGCAAGAAATAAAATTAGCCGTAGCCACCTGGTCATTGGAGAAATTGTTGTTGTAGCTGAACATGCCAAAACAAAGCTCCAGGCAAGCAAAAACCAAGTTTGGGCAAAGCCTGCCTGAGGAGCCTCAGCCCTGAGGAATTTGAGCATCAGTGTCTGGCTGATGTAGACATGGCAGTACTGCTTTACAAGACTACAGGGTGCAAGTCCTCCCAATGATACCCATGGTGGTAATGGCAGGAGGACAAGGAGATTTAGAAGATAGACAGCATTTGGCTACTTAGGTCACTTGGATTTGTGACATTTAGAACAATGAGGATGTCAGAATTCTATCTGGGATTTTCAGAAATGGATTTGCATACTGTATAAACAGTATGAGTAGTTTGCAATGAGATGTTACAGTACAAGAAGCTGATTATATCTGTTCTCTAGTTGATGAGATTTTCATTGCACAGATTGAGCAGTTTTAGCTCCATTAAGCCATGTTACCCTAAAATGAGACCACATGATTATTGCCAATAGCTTGGATATGAAGGAACTTCTTACCTGTGAAGGTGTGATAAAAAGAGGCAGGAAATACAGGGGCCAAATTGACAAAGTTCATTTCAAAACCAGCTGGAATCTAGAAGAGTAGTTTAGCTTCTTTAAACATGGATCGACCCCATATATGAATGAGTTAAAAAATCTGATTCTGAGCTCTAAAGAAAAAAATAATACCTCATTGTGACAGGAAATTAGAAAGTTAATTTCAAAAAGGAATCATGTAAAAAGAGGAAAATAAGATTATTTTTGAGACCCTCTTTCAACTAGATCGATTCAATGAGATTGATTCAAAGGAGATTGTTGTTGAGATCCTTTTTTCCACAAAATTCTGCATAAGCGGGGAAGGGAAAGAGAGTGGACATTTATGGATGAAGAGATGGTGCAGTAAGGGGATGGCAAGAACCATTAAATTTCTGCAGTGCACACTATCAGCGAGGGAAGGACACATGTTCCTGACTTGCTCAGCAAGGATATTGCACAGCAAGAGGTGGTGCAATACACTCAGCAGATGAAGAAGACTGACACACAGCAGCTGCTGTAGGATGCTGATGACTGTTGGTGGATCCACAGACCCATTGGAACAGGGTAAAATACAGACAATGTTTGCCAGAATTTAATTCCTTTCCAATTATTAAAAAAATGTCTCCCTGTGGCACACAAGAGAACAGATACTTTGGAAAATCATTAAGAACATTAAAATTGTGAAAATTAGTCTTTATGCCATAACAAATCAGATGCCAAATTGTGTATTTTGACTTTACAGAGAGAAAGCAACGTGGATCTTGGAACCTTTGTGCTATTGGGGACTACCCTTTTGTTATTTAACCCTCCTATGTGTTCAAATGGGGTTTTAGTGCTTTTCCGAAGATTTTGAGTGTATTTGTGGAGGAATGATAACGAGAAACTGTTACAATTTAGAAGTATGTTGGGGGAGGGGGGGAAAGGAACACAGAATTAGGAGGATGCTTCTGCCAGACACCTGTCTAAGCAATTATAATGCAAAGTACATCTGAAGCAATTTAAATCCTTCAGTTGAAGTTCTTATGTACTCTCTAGTTAGAACTACTGCAGTAACATAAATGGGGTTTTTTGCCACGTTTGGTATAATTTTTAGCCAAAATAAAATCCAGTTTGAGTTAGAAGGTGGTGATGCCCTTTTACAAAATATGATGGATGTTTTTAATGAATTTTTTTCCAATTTAAACATCCCTGTTAATATTCCTAAAATAAATGAATGAGTAGATTACTGAATTGTGCTTGTTAATAAAATAGAAGACAGCATAATTCTTAGCTATTCATTCTACAGACTTGATAGAGAAAGTAAAGGTAATTTTACTGGTCATCCCCATTTTCATTAGATGTTCATATGTTATTATAAAGAATGTGTTGAAAAACCTATGGGAAGTATTAGCCAATTCTCTTTAAAGATAGTTTTTCTAAAAATATAAATGTATTCAATCTTTCTGAAAATGTTTACATATGAAAATTGTCAAATTTGCAATTAAATTCATGTCCTGTGCATTTCTTACATTAAAATTTACTTTAAGCAGTGATAAATAAACATATCTAAGTTTAATGAACTTTGTTAAATTCCCCTGAAATGGCAATGCATTGGCTCGGTTACAGTTAAATCTGTGATCAGCCATTATGTTAATGAAATCATTAGAGCTCTGTTCTTTGAAATGTTACTTGAAAAGCTGTTTCATAAAGCTCTTAACATTGTGGGAATATGACAAAGCTTGTAAATATTCATCCTCAGACATAAAGGGCTGTGAACGAGATAATGCAAGAGGTAGATATCTGAATTCTGTTTACTTCTGAAGGTCTGGTTTCAGAGTTGTATTAAGTGGCCAGCAAAAACATTTGGGATGATGTCATCACAAAGTCCAAACGAAGCATAAACACATTTCCAAACAAGATATTTTTTAATTTATTTTACACTGACCAGTGTTTTGCTCCCTTCCAAAATAATCTGGTGCTGACATCTTACATTCTGTCACCTAATTTCTTCCATTTTCTTCAAAAGTTTAATTATTATTTTATTTAAATTTTTATTATTTTTTAAAAACCCTGCAACTATGACATCTTTCCAGTATCATGTGTATACTCCAAACTGTGCATAGTTTTTGTACAAAAATCATGACTGTTTGTCTTTAGAGGTACACAAAAATTGTACACAGAAATGTGTGCTTGGTTTTGACATTTTGACTTTATGCCTCTGAATATTTGACTGTCATGCACAACTCCTTCACTAGCAGTAGGACTGAAAAATCTCTGATTTTGCAGTTCAAAACACAGTAGAACTCTTTCCTATTAAAGTAAAGCAAAACTAGCTGTACACTTGAGATTTCAAAACTGAAAAAGTTACTTAATATTTTCAGTGTTTCCTTCTCCTTTGCTCACCAGTTTGTGGTTTGTACATGTCCTTATTCACTATTCTCGAGTCTTAAACAACTTCCTCTTGCTTGTGATTCAAACTCAACCAAGCATCAGGAACGCACCGTAACTGTTCTGTTGAAGTCTTAAAGAAGACATGATGGTGTAATATGGATGTGTTGATGGTACTACAGACCAGACTTGATTATTTTCCTTTAATTACAAAAATTCACATAACCTATATACATAAGAAGAGAAACATATATTGTCGTGGTATGTACTTGTTAATTAAGTTATTTTAAATTTGTTATTGAAAGAAAGCTGCAAAAATCTGCACAAGAGAGTTGTTTTACAGCTGTGTCTTTTTTCTACCTCCACCCTGAGGCGTTTCTGAAACAGGAAGGTAGGAATCATGACAATTTATTGTGAGACAGTTTGTTCTCTCGAAAGTCTGGAGGCAATTCTTTATGACTTTGGAGGTCCACAATATCAGAAATGTTTTCTTAATCATCCATAATCAGCATGCACAATCTGATCTTTGTCCATTACAGAGTCAAGAAACCAGCTTAATACTACAACTTATCTTGATTTTCATTAAGTGAAATTGGAAGTTCAATCAACCATTGAGATTTTTGATAGCAATCTTTTTACTAATTTGACTCAAACAGAATTTGGAAACCAAACAATGTAAATATGTGTTTATTAGCTAAACTACAGGAATTTTACAGTATTCCAGTCTCTCCTAGTTGCTCTTCAATTTTTCTTCATCAGTGTCTGAAGTGTAAGTCCTTACACATAACCACATTCTGGTTTCTCCAAAGCCAGAGGGAATCTGTAACATTTCAAATGAGCCTTCATGGTGTGCTATGCCCAATCTGTTCCTGCCCTTTGGTATTCTGCATAACAGGTTTTGCCCCACCATGGGGTGTGCACTATAACTTGTGATTTCAGGGGCATGAAGTTATCATGAAACAGGGAAAACCAGGGGGACTGTACATTTTTACAGAAATCTTATTACTGCATCTAAGAACATATCAATATTTCTTCCTAGTTTGTCTTTTTTTCCATAAGCATCCTGATGTCTAATTAAAATGAGTAGGGAGTGCATTTGCTTCAGTTATGAAAAACAGAGCCCACATTTACAAGCCCAGAAAAGGATTTAAGAAATTAACATTGGCACTTGGATTGGCTTATTTGTTTATAGGTGGAAATGTGCAGGCTGAAAGTGTAACAACAATATAAAATGGAATGTACAGATAAGCAAGCCAAATTGTGATTATTATGAGATTCAACAACCTCACCTGTGCAGTTTCGTCATTCTCTGTGGTTGTTACAGGTGAGTAACCAATGGCAAAATTTGACCCATTAGCTCATCCTTACTGTAAAATCTATATCTGTATATCTAATATATGTGAGCTTACTTTTCCTAACATCTCAGTACAGTTAAGGCTAGGTACTCATAGGAATATGGGATAGTTTGATATTGGCAGCAATGCACGGTATGCAGCCAGCATAGCAGTGATGACTCAGGGCAACAGTCAATCAATACTGTAAATTA